AACTCTCGTGTCAGACTGACTTGGGTCTGAATCTTGTTTTGTTCACTTTTTAAATTGCATGACTTTGAGATGCGTAACTTCTTTAAGCCTCTGTTTCCACAACTTCAAAATAAGGATAACCGCTAAACCAGCCTCATAGGACCATTGTAATAATGAAACATGATAATAAACATAAAGTTCTTAGTGCAGCATCAAGCACATAGTGTAGCAATGAGCATTCCTGTTAATGAACTCTCCCCCAAGGGTGTGCTAAGAGAATTTCTGATAACCTGTGGTGAGCACAGACTTTGTAATAGTTACCTACTGCTGAATAACAAATTGCCTGACAACCTACAAACATTTACTGTCTCACAACCCTGAGGGTCAGGAATCTGGAAGAAGCAACTTAGCTGCGTGGTTCTCGCCCAGAGTCTCTTGGAGGTTGCAGGCAAACTGTCTTTGGTAGCTGCAGGCATCTGAATGCTTGACCCAGTCTGGAGGATCAGCTTTTAATCTCACTCAGGAGGCTGTGGGCAGAAGGCTTGTTTCTTGTCGTGTGTGCCTTTCCACGCATGGGGAGGCTCATGACATGACAGCTGACTTCTTCAAACAAGTGATCAAAGAGAGAAAAGAAAGCAGGACCAAGATGGAAGCCACAAGATCTTTTATAAGCAAGTATCACCACGTTCCACTGGTCACACAGACCAAACCCGGACCCAGGAGCATATGAACTCCAGGAGGAGGGACACTGGGGGTATCTTACAGGCTGGCTACCCCTGCCTTTAAATAGCTTTCCTAAGAAATGCCACAGTCGCTCTTATTCCCTTCCTCCCTCCCTCCCTCCCTCCCTCCCTTCCTTCCTTCCTTTTTTTCTTTCTTTCTTTCTCTATTGCTTTAATTTTATATTAGTCAGGAGACTTTGTAATGATTATAATGTTTATAATCTACCAATAAATGAAAGGCATCTGGGCACCAAGACGAATGTCTCAGTGGGGTCTTCTGGCCACTTGGAAAGCATGTGTCTTCACATGCCTCAGAAATCCACAGCTGACTTTGGTAAAATCTTGTCTACTAAATATTCCAGCTCTGCACTTTCACAAAATGTAAAGGACGGAAGTTGTCTTTCTATATTAACAAGAATGGTTAGTGGGTAAGGCATAGTTTACAGATCTGTATTTATGATGGGGCCTGGCTAAAAGAAAAAAAAAATAGTAGAAATAAACCATACAACATGGGAAGCCTAATTCTAACAGGAAGTTGCTTTGAAATAACATCAAGACTCGCTGCCCAACTGATGTCTTTGACAACCAGTTTGGACACCAATAAAATGTCCTGTTACTTGCCATATTTTATTTTCTTACAGTGTTTCCCACTGTTCGATGGTAATTCCCACTGCCTGTTCTTACAGCAGTCTCTGCGCTCTGATTTAGCTATGCCTTGACGGCTGCTGTAGGCTACATTTCTGACCAAGCACAGGTACTTATGGGTCTTAACGCATTCTTAAAAAGTACTAGTCTTGCAGAAATATAAAAAACAATAGCACAAAAAGCCCTTTGATGACTCAGAATTTATTTGATGTACTTAATAATTGGTGCACTTTCTCCCTTGTTTTAAGGAAATATTCTGTACCCTGAAACAAAATATAAGTAAAGACATGTGTCTGCTTTAATATCTTGATACTGGTTGAGTCTCAGTAGTCCTTTTCTATGCTTTCTGGGTAAAGGCTCTCCGTGTTCTCCCTGGCTGTACTTTGATGTCTGAAGCAGTGCCTTTTGCTTGTAAATGTATGTCGTGCCTTTGATCTAGTTCTTAGCTGGTCTTATTTAAAATAGATAGTTTCTTTTATCTAAGCAGTGTTTACTAGGCCCCTCTGTCTATGAAAGATGGTTTAAATTGCTATTATTTAGACAGAAAGTTGTTTCTTAAGAGTGCCCTAGTCTGAATCTAATTCTCTACATTCTAAAACCACAATAGCTCTCTTGTAGATTTTGTGAAGGTACATTGCTATTAAAATGAGCTGCTGTTACAGATGTCAGGTAATATTTGCAAAAACTTTGTTTGCTTTTTAATAATTTTTCTAAAGAATAAAAAATGTTCCTGACCTAGCCAAAGATTATCATATTAGAGAGCCTAAATATAATAGCTAATTATCCCTCTGAAATTTAGTTATTAATATTCTAATGTTCCTGGGGTACCTATACCATATAAGGTATAATAAAATAGGACCTTTTTTTTTAAAAAAAAAAGAAGTATACATATTTCATTTTCTTTAAGAAAATTTCTTGAACATTATATTTAGTGCTTTAGTGACTTGTTTCTGAGTTTCCTTGGCTGCTTTCAGTTATTCATTCAATAAACTACATTATCAGGGAAGGGAACATTACCTTTGCCTTTAAGTGGACTCACAACCTGGAAACGAGAGGGAGGCCAGAGCCCTGCCAAACAATGACACTGCCGCACGGTCACTGCCCCTCATGGACGTTGTCCTTGCAGCCTGGCCTTGAGAATGGTCAAGGAAAACTTCCAGGAAGAGGTGACATCCAAGCTTCAGTGCAGGGCATCTGATTCAAAATTCAACATCCTGTGAATTCTCGGCCAAGCTTACAACACAACGTAAACATATCTGTCCAGACCCTCTGTAGCTTAATACAGGTGGCCAAAACCTTGGTGAGGTCTGAACTCGGAATTGCCTTGCTGCCTAAAGCTGTGCCCAAAGCCTTCTTGCTAGACAATCAACCCCAAAGAGAGGAACCCCAAAATGATCTCCTTACATGCATTTCAGAACTTCAGCTCTATTTTTCACTTAAGGTTGTGTTGGTCAGTTTTTTACTGCTCTGATAGAATACTTAAGAGAACTTAGAGGGAGGGAAAGTTTATGTTGGTCCTGGCTTCAGAGATTTAAGTCCATGGTCAGTTAGATCTGCTACTTTAGGGCCTGTGATGGGGCAGCATAGCACGTGGGAAACACACAACAGAGCAAAGCTACTCGTGTTGTGGCAGCCAGGGAGAGAGAGAAAGATGGGACCCCAGCTTGTCCTTTAGGTCACTGTCCTCAGTGACCTTCCTTTCTTCCACTAGATCACACTTCCTCAGGGTTCCTCTATGTCCCGATAGCGCCACAGCCTGGGACCAAGCCTTCAACACGCAGTCCTTTGGCAAACATTCAAGAACTCCAAACTATAAAGAGCTCCAAAGCCAGGCATAATGGTGCACACCTGTAATCCCAGCACTCAGGAGGCTGAGTCAGAAGACTGCAACAGGTTTGAGGCCAGACTGCCTTTTGTAGTAAGTTCAAAGCTAGCCTGGACTACATGTGAGATCCTGTCTCGAAACCAAACCAAACAAACGTGTATGTGCAGTGTGCTATTACCTGATGCAGTTCCTGCTGCCTTTCATTCTGGGAGGAAATGACAGGAAACCTGGATCTCAAGCTAGGTTTGTAGAGATGGGCAGGAGAGGCAGCCTCTGGAAGACACAGGCTCACATTCAGAGTCTTCCCAGGACAGGGCAGAGAGAGCAGTGTGGGGCAATGGGGTGGGGTTGGAGATTTCTGAAGCAAACAGAGGGATTTCACTGCTTCCTGTTGGTGATCTAGAGCTCTTAAAGTAGAGAAATTGCAAAATGAAATGTAATTCTTGGTTTCTCTCCTTCTTCTTTCATACTGGTTGCCAAGTGAACCTGAGAATCGTGCATTTTAGGCAGTAGGAACCTTGCATGAGAAAATTAGGCCCCAAAGTTCAAGTGGCCCAGGTCTCCCAGCCACACAGTGGTGGAGCCATAGCAGGCTGGCCAATCCAATGACCAGGATTAAGGCCTGGGTGTCTCTTTTTGGGGACTTTTTCCTCACTAGAAATCTTAGAGTCTGCAGTCTGGGTATAGGAGCCTATAAGAGAGAAGCCATCATACCATGGGGCCCCCTTGAAGGTGTGGGGCCCCAGGGATATCCCAGTTCTCAGAGGCTGCACCTCTTTCTCACTGGGCCCCATGGATGCCAACCAAAGAGAACTTGAAGAATAGGAATAGTTAGCTCTTAGAAAAGAAAGAAAGAAACAAAGGGAACAGAAAAAAAATTACACTGTATCAGGCAGACTCATGTGAACAAATGGAAGACAGGCTAGGAGTACGGAGAGTGAAGATAACTGGGAAACACTGACAATTTTTTAGTTATTATTCAGTGTCTAACTTTGAGAAGTCCAAATGCAGTGTATCCTACCCAAACTTCATGGACTACGAGCAAAGTAGAAAGATAATCTGAAGAAAATCAGATAACTGCTACTAGAAAGCAAGAGAAGAATATGTGCTCGAAAAGCAAAAACAGTAGACACTGACAGGAGCACCCTTGCCCTCACATGGAGACAAAAATGTGTAAAACTGGCATGTTCTTGGAGAGGGGAACCAGGTACAAGTACTGTTGGTGCTCTGTCTCTATTGACTCAATCTTAATCTCAACCCTTTTATTTTTCATATTTTACAAAGGAAGAAATTGAGGCACAGATTGACTAACTGGGTCAAGGTGTTAAAGCTAGCAAATACTTCAGCTGGAATTTTGGCCCTAGGAGTCTGACTTCAAACTCTTAATTTTTACTGTTCTAATTAAGTTGTACGTTCTTACATAATATTGCATGTTATTATAATGTAAATAATTACTGTTATAAGTATCTTTAGTTTGCTTATTTTTCTTTTTTTCTTAATTTTTTCCTCTGAAAGATTTTAGGATAGCTTAGAAAATGAATGCAAATAACCTAGCATACAATAGTAGCCATTGTTATTTTTATTATTATAGTATGCAAAGTCTTTGATCCATGACTGTGAAATAAGACAAAAAGCAGTCGAAGATTACAAGACATTTGCACAGTCTCTACAGCTGAGAGAAAAATCTGCGCAATCTGCAGGGAGATTAGCAATGGGTCTGAAAGAATAGGTCTAGTCAATGAACGCTTGACCAGAGACTGGTTGACGCAGGGATGGAATGGTAAAAGGCTGAACCCTTTAGTGACTTCTTCTCCCCTTCCCTTCTCAAGTGCTGCTTAAGTAGAGCTGAGGCCAGACGGGATGCAGCCAAAGTGGCCCTAATCAACTCCCTCTTCAACGAACTCCCCTCGCGCAGGATCACCAAGGAATTCATCATGGAAAGTGTTCAGGAAGCGGTAGCCTCCACCAGCGTGAGTACTCACAGGGGAGGAGGGCGAGCCGTGCTGTGAACACTGAGGCGCTGGAGCCCTGGGAGATGAGACAGTGGACGAATTCCGAACTTAAACACATGTGGGCTGTATTTTTCCCCATTAAGGCATCATTTTTTCAGCAAAAAAGAACACTTGGATTGGAAACCATAAACTAGAACTTGTTCCCCACTCTACACCTCAGCAATATTCTTCACTTCCTTGGATGACAGTTAAGCTTTAAATTGAGGTAGATAATTTGATCCACCTTGATTTGTTTATTTGAATGTCTGCCTTTTGAGGAGTGTTGATTCTTTTAGGCCCCGAGAATGCAAACAATTGAATGATGCTTTAATCTAGTGGTAAACTAGCTCCATTTATCTTGAACTCAACTAATCATAAAAATTATTTGAGGTACTTATTGAAAGTGCCAATTACCCGGCATACAATCTATATTTTTAAGGAAGCACTGGCTCTTTATTCAGCCTGATTTGTGTTAGCTATTAGAAAAAATTGTAGCTAACATCAATTTACTTCTTTCAGAGAGCTTTGAAAATTTCCATAATGGACACAATTAAAAATAAAGTATTTTAAAAGCAAAAAGCCCCATGTTAGAAATTTAAATAGAGCACTTATTTCAGCACACCAGCAATCCTGAATTATTTGCCCAATAAATGATGTGAAGCTCCTGATCCTTGAAATCTCCAAACTATAAGCCACAAAGGAAGCCTGGGGCCCCAACCCATGACAAGTGTTTCCCTGTACATGCTCAATGGGAGAGATGTGGCATTATCAGAGGAGTAACTGCCTCTGACCTCCCCTGCACACAGATACACCCTATCTAAGGTTCTCCCTTCCTGTTTCCCTTAATAAAAGGAGAAAAAGCTTTGTTTCTGGAGAAGCTGCTGATAACGAAGGAGCCATCATCATCTGACTATTATGACCTTCTCCTCATAAATGCTCTTATCACTTCCAGGAGAGATTGGGAAGGGGCTGGGAAGGGAGGGGCATTGACCCAGCCAGAGAAGGCAGCGAGCTCTGCTCTATATCTGGTCTTTGGATGAAAGGAAGCCTTTATTTTCTGGCCCTGTAAATTTCAAGTGCCTTTGAGGAAGAGAAGTTAGGAAAACGATGCCTGATTTATATAAGTGTGGAATTTACTCAGGAGCAGGGAAGGGCCCTCAGTGTAAATGTAATTTATCATATTTTCATGGAAATTTCTAAGGAAAGAGAATATGTATGGCTTGCAAGCTTCTGGGTGGATTTCCTCTGGGATATTTAAAAAGCCAACATAAATATTTCAGCAGCAGTGTGTTAATGTTATTGCATTCAAAAGCTATAAATTTGCTGCTATTTGATGCTGCCAGTTGTTTGTTCAGTCTCATGGAGTTGCCACAGCCCACCTTCCCAGGAATCCGAGGCCATGGGATAGTGAAGGAGACTTAGATGTCATTCCAGAGCTTGTGCTAGCTTCTTGCATTGCTCCCCACAACCAAACTGAAAGGGAAATCATTTCTACACCACACACACACACACACACACACACACACACACACACACTTGTTTCCTAAAGATTAAGTGATTGTTGCAGTCAGGGTTTGCAAGGGAATAGATTTAATATAGGACACAGACTTTATAATATTATTTCATAATACTCACCCAAAAAGTCAAATACAGAGGAGTGTGAAAGATCTGTCTATGTGCTAGAGACCCGAAGAATCCAAATAAGGGCCTGGATCCCACAGAAAAGTCTTCCATTAATCCAGCCGGAGGCCTAGAGTCCCTGGCAATGTCCCATGCAAGTCCATACGGAGGGTCTGTACCGAGAAGGCCCGACGGCCAGGGCTGGAGGCTAGAAAGCCTGTGCCCTTGGGCCGCCAGGTTGAGGGACCTGCACTGGAGTCGGGAACTGACTACAAAGGCAAAGACCAGAGCTCTCCTGATGAGAACAGAAGCCATCCTCAGTGACAGTGAGGACCCAAGTACCTCTGATGATGAGAACAGCTGAGTTCATATCAGAAAACCAGCTGCAGCAAGCTTCTCCAGGAAAACCAACAGCATCCAACCTTCCCCTCTCATTGTCTGTTTTTGTCAGTTTGGCAACAATCTTCAAGTGGGTCTTTCACGCCCATAACCACACTGATTCAGCTCAGCTGGGCATTCCAAGCTGACCATTAGTTAATCCAGCATAGTGGTCAAAGAGTACAAAAAATACATAACCAAATTCTACATCTCCAGTGCAAACATCACCCATATTATGAAAAGCGTATAAATGGTCCATACAACTGGAGTCTTCTTTCCATGTCCATACTTTTGCCTGAGTATTACTGAAATTAGAGCATGACCAGCGTTTCAAGATTTCCGTTATCCCTAACACCACGACCACCAAAAACCCTGTGCAATAACAGGAAATTCTGTTTGGGGAAAGTTATTCTATAAGCAAGTATATGCTCAACTAACATGCTAGTAGAAAGCTAGATTCAAACTGATTATGAGATCCTCTTTACTCTGAATCATGGTGAGATGAAGAATTTTACCCAAAATCAACCAGAGACTTAATTGGAGAGTGAACACCATTAAGGTTAGGCCAGCAGCGGAAGGCATGCTATGGCCAGAGGACTAATCCTTGACTACTCACAGAAAATATTAGTAATATTTGCTTCTTCTGCTGTCCTTCTCAAGGGCACTTTGGACGATGCAGATGACCCCAGCACGAGCATCGGCGCCTATCACTACATGTTGGAGTCAAATATGGGCAAGACGATGCTGGAATTTCAGGTACCTGGCTTCCTGCTATATGTTTATCTGGTTACCTAATTTAGAAAGCAATTAATATCTATCACAATAGTACACTTTTTCATTCAAACCTCCTAGAATCCAGCACAGTCACCCCACGTTAGCCACATTTCAGTAAAATAAAACAAAGGTGGGTGTGTTGAGGCAGGAGAATTGTGTGATCCATACAGCCCAGCCTGGGAAATTTACAGATTTAGTGAGATCTTATCTCAAAATTAAATAAATAAATAAAAGTCCTTGGTTTAATCCCTACCACCTAAAAGTAAGTAAAATAAAATACAATAAAGTAAAAGCAAATGGGATGGAACACAATCTTTGCTATTATGAAGGGGAAGCATCATACTTAAGTCTAAGAAACAGGTGAGGAAAACTCCAGTCTTACGGTGCTGTAACGCTTCAGTTTTTCAGCACAACCAAATCACAGTTGTGACTACCTGATTCTTAATGTTTAGAATTCATAGGTAAAGGTTCCCACAGTATTCACTGAACAATACTCCTTCGGTTCTGATGTTTCTATTAAACAAGATCTGCCTCCAGTTATCATCAACCAAAAAAAAAAAAAAAAGCAACTGTAATCCTTTCTCGTGCTCTGCTGATGAATGATAACAGCTGAGAAGCTACATTACCTATTACAGATGATCCCAGATTTATGAGCTTCCAATTTCACAATGGTGAGAAAGCACACTTAGAGAACCATTCTGTTTTTCTGTTTCAGTACTGTTGTATGAGGCATACGGCACTCTATTATAAAATAGGTTTTGTGTTAGGTGATTTTGGCCAACTTCAGGAAAGTGTAAGTGTGACTATGTTTAAGGTAGGCTAGACCGAACTGTGATGTTCGGGTAGTTAAGTGTGTTGAGTCCATTTCTGACCTAATGCTACTTCCAACTTATAATGGATTCATCAGAGAATAACCCCATGGGCAAGTGGAGGTTCAGCTGTATTTGCAAAGTCAATAATTGCATGAGTAACAGTAATATTAGCAGCTAGTGCTTATTAGATGCTTTCTTTGGCATGATGCTTAGCATTTCATGTTTTATCATGATTTAACACAAGAACCACGAGTTAGATTTTATGAAATTCCTATATTAGTGGTTTTTCTTTCCAGCATCAGATTCATTTACTCATCTTATAAGTTCTTATAAAGTTAATACTGATTAACAACCACTTGAATAGGCAAAAGTCATATAAAATACATAAGACAATTACACTGTCTCAAGGTACACTTTTAGATCTATCCCACGTTATTACTGAAAGAAGTCTGTCACCACTTAGCAAATGTTAGAGCCTGTGTTCAGTCCCGGGCCTTGCAGTCTCGCTCTTGTCCTTTATTAGGCTGAGCAGGTGAAAATCGAGCAGTCACTGGGTAAGAATTGTGTGTCCCTCTAACTAAATCTGAATGCAGATGAACACCCAAAAACATGCAATGTTGGTAGAAATCAATATGTAATATTATAAACAAAAGTCTTTATCGCTAGTGATTGTATTTTCTTAGACTCTAAGAAGTAACCCGAGACTATAGTTAAATCCAAGAAAAAACCCAGAGATACAGTCTCGTGAACATGAGTATGTTTCCATGGTATAATTTACCGTGGTGTTGCAGTTGAAGCCTAAAGCCACCAGCTTTCAATTGCCTTCATGCATACATTTCAGACTGTTTCCTGACCAACGGCATAGCCATTTCTCACATATATGTGTCCTTTCTGCTCAATTTTCAAAAACTGATATTTTTCTTTATTCATTCTCTACATGACTGAAGCAAAATGCTTCCTCCATTCTGCCTCTTCTTCTTCCTCTTTTTTTTTTTTTTATTCTGGTACCGGGGATCAATCTTGGGACCTTACGCTTCTGAGGCAGATGGCGGCACCACTGAGCTAAATCCCCAGGCCTCCATTCCGCGTCTTGATCTGCATCTGGGTCATTTAATTTTCTCTGTGGGTGGAGATGGACTCACAGACCTGTGATACAGCCTGTCTTGGCACATGGAGTGACCTGATCCTTAGGGCCCGCTCCCTGGAGAGGACAAGGCCATGTGTAGCTCAGTGGTTCTGACCCAGGCTCTGGAGTGGACTGGCTAGTTTTAGCCTCCGTTCCCAACCTCTGAATCTGCTTCCTTGTTCGTATTTAAATGGGACACTATGAGAAGAGTCCAGAGCAGCGGTGGCAAACCCATGGCACACATGTCACAGAAGGCTGTTTTTATCATTGAAAGCTCTGAAAGGTTTGCCATCCTGGGCCTAGCCAGTGCCTCCCATAGGTAAATGCTCCACAGAGGCTAAGCATCATTGTTCTATGTATTTCTCAGGAGGGAAATGGCACAAAAGAAAGAAAATACATATTTAGGGGCTGGGGATTTGGCTCAGTGGTTCTGCTGCCTGCCTCGCCAGCAAGAAGGTCCGGAGTTCAATCCCCAGTAACAAAAAAACAAAAACAAAGAAAATACATATTTCAAAATCATACTGAGCTATGTGTGAACCCTGTCCCTCACTTGCCACCCATGAGCTTGCCCATTCTGAGATTGGCTTTGTATCTATAAAATAGAAACAATAATGCTCACCTACAGGATTAAATAATGTGACCTTTACAAAACAGAGAGCATCATCCTTTCCACTGGAAGAAAATCGTGTATCTTAATTCTTCCCTTTACATCCCATCAAAAGAATATTGTACTGCTTTTGTTATACAATGAATAATGCCTGCCCCACTACACAGTTGCTTGTATGTGACTTAGTAGCTATTTTTAGGAAAAATAATGATTTTTGAATGTGATTGTGTTAGTCTGCCCAAGAAGGATAAGGTGAAAGTAATTAATAACAATTAATTCTAAAGTGTTATTAAAACCCTTCCAAGAACTAGGAAAGGCACTACTCAAACTCAGTGATATTTCAGCCACTTTGCCTTGGGCTGTGCGTGTTCTGTGTGGTCTGTGTGGTAAGGTGTTTATGAATGTGAAATAATAATTTGAATCATACTGTAGAATTGCCTCAGAGGGTCTCATAAAGGACGCTGGGTTCCAGATGGGGACCAAGGAAGGAGAAGATGTAAGGGCAGCAAAAAATCCAAGGCCCCAACCTGCAGGAGAGACCTCAGTAACTCAACTCCGGGTTTCAGGAGCCCGGCTTCACCTTCTATGGCAGGGCGGGGACTAAATGCATCAGTCTGTCTGCACCTAGGGGGAGCTGACCACAGGCCTGAGCCCCTTCAGCACAGACAGCAGTTCGGTACCCTTGGGGGGTTGTGGGCTGTGTTTGCATCCAGGGATAGATACTATTCCTCGGAAAAGCAGGGTGGTGCCTCTGACAGCCCTCAGGCTTGCACGGGAGGGGGTCCTGCAGCTGGCTGGGGAGGAAACTCGATAGGCCTCTGCTTACCTTTGCGTTGTGGGCGGGAAGCCCAGCTGCTGCTCTGAGGTAGCCCCGCTGCAGAGATAACTGCCTGCTGTTTGGGGGAGGGACGTGAGCAGCGACCAGAGCTGGGGCTTGTCAAGGTCAGATTCTAGGCAGGCTTTGACTGAAGCTGGTTAATATATTTATTCTGAAGCCTAATGCAGTCCAAGGAAGAGTTGTTTATTTACATCTTTGCTAAATTCTCCAGGTCACCTTTTAAAACCTCATCCCATAAACAAATTTCCTTTTAGATCCATTCTCTTGGGTGGGGAGATGGTGCCCACCTGTTTTTCAAGTTCTCCATTTACAGTGTTTGTTTTTCTTATTTCTGATGAATCACAGAACCAAGCCAGTCTCCCAGACAAAGTTCCAGAGAGAAGCAGGGCTCATTTTCAGCCTACAAAGTAGCTGAAAAGCCAAACACTGTCTCACAAGAGGCAGTGCCGGGCAGAGCCCAAGGACAGAGCCTGGTTATTGCCGGTTTAAACGGAATGAATAATGGAATAAACCAGGAGAGCTGTCAAATGAGAAATGCAACTGCAATTTTATTTTCCATTCCATTTCAAATTTACTTTGCTGATCTGACAGAACCAGCTATATGTATTATGGAGTTGGTATAAAATAAAAACGCAGAGGCCTTTGTTCAAAAGCTATTAACATGCCTATAATCCCACCTCTCTGGGAGGCTGAGGCAGGAAGATCCCAAGTTTTAGCCCACTCTGGACAACTTAGTGATCTAGCAAGTTCCTGTTTCAAAAAATAAAACAAAACAACGATAATGAAATAAAACTAAAAAATAAATAATGGCTGGGGTTGGAAAGTAGTGCAATGTCAAGGTCCTCGGTTCAATTTCCGGTAGTGGAAAAGAAAAATACTACTAAGAATCTCAGTACTGTGGAGTAGTAAACCAACTTCAGTGTTTATTCACAGACTCACACTCCAGAAGCAGAGTCCCGCACAGACCCAGCAGCAGGGCCCAGACCCAGCATCCTGAAGCAGAGTTGGCTCTGAGAACCACCCAGCAGAAGGGTACAGACCACAGCCACAGCCCAGTGAGGCGTTCACTTGTTTCTGGCACAAAAATGACAGAGACATTGAACAACTCAGGGGTCAAGAGGGACAATATTACACGACAATAGTTTAATAACTCAAAATTAAGGTAAAAAATTCCTGATAAACAAAGCAAATAAAAGCCCCTGATGGTGCAGGCACCACCCACCTCGGCTGACACTTTTCCTCACCGCCTCACACTGCAGGCCGGCTTTGAACTTTGCTGTCAGCCCAGGAGTCTGCCAGGCTCCCAGATCTGACCACAACATCACAGGAGGGGAGGCACTGGGGAGGCTCCAGGAAGAAAAGATGGTAAATCTGGGCAGCAGGGCTGATGGTGAAAGTAGGAGGCGATGCCTCACAGGGGCCTGGGATTGCTCCAGGCCTGTCTGCAATGACACAGGGCTCCCTGGGGCTGGAGCTCAGACAGCTTTGGGACAGTTTGTGGACTCAGTTTTGTGAAGGGAAATAAAGAAACAGGACCAGGAGTCTGTGGAATTACATGGAAATACGTACTTTATGTAATGCTTTGATATCCTTCCGAGTGGGACAACAACTAGATCGTAATATAATGTAAGAGAGTGGGGAGGAGATTGTCTTCCCTAGAGAATTTTAGAAACCAGAGCCATTCTGAGGGGGAAGCAGTTGTGTGCCTGCAAAGTAAAAGCTGCTTTTTAGCTCAGTGGTGCCATCACCTTCCTCCCAAGCACAAGGCCCTGGGTTCGATTCCCACTACAAAAAAGAAAGAAAGAAAGAAAGAAAATCTGCTTCGTGGTGGGACAGAGACTTAAACAATCAGAGGCAGGGAAGAAATGGCCCTTGTCCTGGAGACAATAATCAAGACCCTTTGGGGAATTTTGTGAGAGATGTAGTTTGCTAAGGGGGATAAGAAAGCTTCCAGTTCTACTCACAGTATAACTACAGATTCTAAAGTCTTTAGGGAATTGCGAGAGAATGGCAGTTCACCTGGAAGGGGCAGCTGATAGCATCAATAGGCACAGGCTGCCTGTACTTCCAGCACTCTGGAATGCTGAGACGGGAGATTCACAAGTTCAAGCCCAGCCTGGGCAATTTAATGACTTATAGCAAATCTGTGTCAAAATAAAAAAATAAATAAAAAGGGCTAAGGAGGTACCTCAGTGTAAAGGCTTTGGGTTCAATTCCCAGTACCGGATATAGGGAGTAGAAAAAGAATAAATCCAAGCTGGGTGTGGTGGCACATGCCTGTAATCCCAGCACTCAGGAGGCTGAGGCAGGAGGATCCCTGCAAGTTCAAGACCAGCCTGGGCTACATAGTGAGTTCGTGAGTTCCAAGTAAGTCTCAACTACATAGTGAGGCCCTGTCTCCAAAAACAAAAACAAAAACAAAAACAAAAAAAAAGAAAAAAAAAGAAAAAGAATAAGTCCAAAAGATCTTGAAGAAGCAAAAGTACATTTTTAAGGTAACAGCTGCCAAACGATAGAATTAAAAGCTCTGTTAACGGTAGGTATTTGCTCAAGTAGGCCACAGAGATGCTCGGACAATTTATAATAGTAACCACATTATAAACGCAGCTGTCAACTTCACATAGGGACTGGAGGAATTATTTAGCAGTAGAGGGCTTGTCTAGTATGCACCAGGCTCTGGGATCACTCTCCAGGACCGCAAAACAAACACACACAGAGCTTTCCATAAAAATCTTGGAGGTGAGACCAAGTGGAGGAACAGGGTATTTATCTTCTTTTTTTAAAGATGGGCCATACAAAAGGAACAGAGCATTTTTACAAAACATGAAACTCGAAGAAATTTCCTATTTGCAAATATTGGCCCTCCTATTGCATCATTCTGCTACAGAATGTCCCAAGGGTGGGTTTGGGGGTGTGGTGGGAGGCGGGGCGTGAATTTACCCTCCTGAGCCACTGGGGTACTTTGATGGAAAGATTGAGAGCACAGTGGTGACAGCTGAATTAGGAAAGTTCAGCTTAAGGAACAAAGCTTTCCCACCTTAACATCGTGATGTGATGAAGTCAAAACATGGACAGGTCAGGAAGAAGAGGCGCTGGGAGAAGGTGGCTTCCCTCGGCCTGAGACCCAGGGCCCTGGGCGGACAGTGGGCTCTCAGTCTGAGGCAGGATGAGCAACTCTGCTGAAATTCATGGTATTTTAATTAATGGAAACAAATGATTTTACTTTTATTGAGAATCCCTTGGGTTTCTCAGGTGCTTGTTGTGCAGTGGAACATCGACAAAACACTGAACTTGATTTCAGGTGAAGAGGAAAAGCATTTGATTATATGGCAGTTTTAACCAGGAGGGTAATAACTGCTTACTCCAATGATGATCTTATAACTTTAGACTTTACTAGATAATTTTAAGGTGCCTTTAATTTAAGACTGTGTATATCGTGATTTTCCTGATGAAAACTCACCTGGACAAGCAAAGGAAAAGATAGTTAATAAAAGTCAGCTTTTCATAACTGTTCCGTGAACAGGAAGCTCCTTAATTATACTGAGTAATTTTCCAATAATTATGTGGTTGTGGTTCGTGCTATTATTAATCCTTAATAGATGTTTTTCTGACAAAAACAAAGACAAAAAAAATAGCAGACGGGGAGATAGATCCAGGAGATGGAGGGAGAGGGGGTGAAGCGGAGAGAGAGTGGGCATAAAAAGAATCAAGATGTATTATGTATAGGTGACAGCTCTCCATGGTGAATGTGATCATCAGGTAACACAATTGCTTACTCATTAAAAAAATGTTTAAGTTAAAGACAATCCCTCTATACGTGAAATTCAGGTAACTTCAGTGAAACATTGCTAGTTCTGATTACATTAGGAAAATAAAAATCTCTGCTAGGTTGATCTGGGGAAGGGAAAGGAAAAACTGAGCCCATAGAATGGCTGCTACGCTCAATGCCATTAGCCACGGAAAGCAGCGATATACTTAATGTCAATATAACCTTCTTGTCCGCATGTTAAGGCATTCTTCTTAACCGAATTTATAAATTTATGGCGTCTGCAGTGTGTCCATTGTGTTTTATATTGTCAAAGATGAAATTATAACAGATTTAGAGAATGAGTTGGCTTTTCTTTGCGATTGTAGAATCAGGGATGACTTCATCCCATAAAATAGAATGAATGTTCCAATACGCTGAGCAAAGAAGGTTGGATTTATAGGCAGAAAAGGGCTGAAGAAAGCAGAAACAGGATAAAAAGTTTCTTTCCTCACAGTTAAAGCAAAGGGGACTTCCTTAGCATAATGGCTAACACCAGGGAATTGATTGGTTTTTCTCTGTGTGGTTCTCCTTATTTGTGAGAAGGTCAGATGAGCAACTTAGTTTCATCCTACTGAGACGGACATTAGCATGGGTGACTCTATTTTGATTTGGTCTGGGGAGGAGTTAAGTCCAAACCAATGACTTCCTATGAATCATATTTTAAAATATTGACGTGTATTTTTTGGCTTAAATTTTAAAGTTTTTTCTTTAATGTGCAATGTAGTCACATGATTGAAAGCTCAAAAAGTTATCTAACAGATCATCAGAGGCAGCAGGAGGTGCAGCCCAGTGACAGAGCAGTTGCTCTTTGGCAAGTACAAGAGCCTGGGTTTGATCCCCAGCAGTGCACGACAAAACGAAACAAAACTTAGGGAGCAGAAGGAATTCTTCCTACCTCCGCCCTCCAGGCATATATTTTTATCTCTAGAAACAATAAATGTTATCATGTTCTTTTTGCTTATTTTTTTTACTTATTTTTTGTTTGGCTGGTTTGGTTTTGGTGCTGGGGATTGGATTTAACTCAAGACCTCATGCAGTTATGAGCACACCTGTGCTACTCTGGCTCCTATTACAGAACTTTCCTAGACATTTACAAGCAATTATGTATATAGGGGCCTTCTATTCTTTTTAAATCAAATAGTAGCACAAAGTATGCACTGTTTTGTACTTTGTGTTTTAACATCGTAGAATTCTTTATATTAGAACCTAGAGAGTGCTCTCAGCATATGTATATGCAAAGTATTTAGTAGTGTGGATGTATCATTTCTGGCAGTTTCAAAAAGTGATACAATGTATAGCCTTACCTGTACATTATTCTCAGCTGTGCTAGAATGCTTAGATGACCTCTTGGGTGTACAATTACTAAAGTATGAGTTTTTAATATTGAAAATAACTTGTCAATTATTTAGTCATTTCACTGTACAATACAGATATAGCAAGGGACTTTGCAAAACGTCCCCAAAAGTACTTTTTGTTTACCTAACATATTTTGGGATCAGAGTTCTGCCTTGCTGAAGCTTTAACTGACAAATGTTTCTGCTTCAAAACTAATGACAGGTACTTGGATTTTACAGGAGCTGATGACTATTTTCCAACTACTGCACTGGAATGGAAGTCTAAAAGCTCTCCGAGAAACAAAGTGTTCTCGACAGGTGAGATTTTCTGGTTAGGACCAGGTTGGTGTTGTAGGAACTAAGCAGATGATTGATTCATCATCTTCCTAAGAGATGTCTTTAATTGGGACATTTCTCTACATAAGCGTGCTTACCTCTTGAGAGCATAGGGTGCATGAAGAACTGCATGTGACGGAGCAGTTGAGTCAGACTGACCAAGTATGTACACTCAGAACATTGGCACAGGACTCATTTAAACACCTGTGCTGAATGCAGAAGGGAGCTGTCATTAAGGGCAGGAAGAATTCTGAGAATGCACACACTGCTCGTGAAACCTGCTCTCCGAAGATGGGCAGATATTTCCCACTGCATCGAAAGGCCCCACTGGGTGACAGAAATGATTTGAAGTTGGACAAGGTGGTTTTTAATCACTTCAATTTTTTGACTTAGAAGTTTTCCTTATTTTTGAGAGACAGGGTCTCACTATTTCTACAACACTTATGGGGAACACCCTTCCCTACTTTTTCATAGCAAATGTAAATTCTTTTGTGCATATTTAATGCTTTCATTGCTGTCTTCCAAGATTTGTCTTCTCTAAACCCATCAATTTGAAGACAGTAGTTTATTTTTGAGAATTTCCTAACAGGAATTTGTATGAGGAACAAAGCCTCTATTAGTCAGCAGGGTGAGGGTGGATGTAAGTTTTCCATACATTGCAGCCCCAGGAGTTTTAAGTTGTTCTTTGCACAGAAAGTCTGGCTTTCAAAATGTCAAAGATGGAAAAGAAATGAGTAGCTGACAATGGCTTTGGCTATTTTTTTCCTTTCCTTTGATTTTACAAAAGGCCTTTGAAATATGCTGGGTTAGTTATAAACACTTTTCCATGATTGGTTTTAATTTGTTAAGGTCATAAATAAATACCACATGTTCTTAAAAATAAAAATAAGCAATGCATCCACTCCACATGATCAAACCTATATACGACAGTATGATGAAGTGACAATTTTTCATAGAAGAAATAAAAGTCATGGCTAATTTTTAATTTTTGGCAAAAGTAAAAGACAATGTATCATGAAAAAATCATTGTGAAATCAATAATGATAATGTCTACACTCCACAATATATTTTAAAGTCATTGCTCTAGTTCTGGTAAGCCATTTGGACTATCATCCTCCTCATGCTAACAGCACAGCTCTAGGAAGTTGACCTTCCTGGTTTCTAAGTCTTGTTCTAAAGTCGCCTTTTACTAAAGATTTTCTTTCTACAATAGCACTTATTGTAGCACCAAACCTGCTTTGCTCCAATTCCCCTGCATAGCTATTTCCCTTTTCCTATCTTTCAAAGGAAATAAAGCTGGGCAGAAGAGTCCCATAAATAAATGACGTAATCTTCAGAGCAATTATTAGTGCAGTGGTACCATGCCTGCCTCGTAAGTGTAAGGTCCTGAGTTTGATTCCGGGTACGGAGAAAAAAAAAAAAAAAGAAAAAAGAATATATTTTCAAAGAAAGGCTTTTCTGGTGACATCCTGCTGTGTATGTGAACATTATTCTCATTAACAACTGTATGTTTTGACTCAACTTTGGGTGACTTGTTTGGCCCATCCTTTTCATTAAAATGGTGTCAGTGGGACTTGGTTAGAGTCTGTGCATGGCAGAGGCTTGGTTGTGGTGGCACGGGAGGCCACATGCACAGTTGCCTTTGTTACGCATTCCTGACTCTGAACTTTTGTTTGTTGGCTCCCAGGAAGTCATCTCCTATTATTCCCAGTATTCCCTAGATGAAAAGATGCGCAGCCACATGGCCCTGGACTGGATCATGAAGGAGCGGGAATCACCTGGAATTCTTTCCCAAGAGCTACGAAAGGCCCTGAGGCAGTTGGAGGAAGCCAGGAAAGCAGGCCAAGAACTGCGATTTTACAAAGAAAAGAAAGAAATTCTGAGCTTGGCCCTGACTCAGATCTACAGTGACCCGGACCCTTCCTCGCCCAGTGACGACCAGCTGAGCCTGACGGCCCTGTGTGGCTACCACTAACGAGGCTGGGTCCCACGTACCCCAGACACCGACCTCAGGAAGCTCCACGCAGAGGTCCTCAGGTGTCCGCATATCAGCGACAGGAAGCTGTACTGACCCCCAGGCATGCATTCCATTCTCAGAATGAAACCCCGTCCCACTCCATCCACGTTCCCATCACACTCTTTAGCAGAACCACCTCAGAATGAAAGGATGAAGACAAGATGGCTGGAAAAATAGTTTCCAGGGCTGGCTCCACTTTAGAGCCTAGCTGGCATGTGCCTTGCTAGATTCTAAATGTTGTTTCCAAGAATAGGCCATTGTAGCACCCCGCCCCCATGAAACCCAGCTTCCATTGAGTAGGAGAAGTAGCATGGAAACCATTTTTAAGTACATGGGATTAAATAAACAATATGGATTTTAAAAAATATATACAAGGGTCAGAGTCTTGTTCTAATTTCTAAAAGCTAAGTGATAATTTATACTCAGGTATAATCCAAGGCATTTCACTAGCAAAGATCTCAGGTGGCAATAGTATGACAGCCTCAGATAAATTAAATTTGGATTAAAATTCCATTGTCATGATGTTTTAAAAACACCTTCTTCCATAAATTATCTATGATATTAATCTCACTCTTACTCCTCAAGAAGAATTAATGTTCAGTTTCTATGACTCTTGCAGTTGATCATGTTCAGTTTTAACTTTCAAATAGATGCTTTGAATTAATTTGCTTTTATTTTTGCCACTGCAAACATACATCTATAATGGAGAAAATCACATTTTAAAGATGAAAACATTTTGTAAAAGCATTAGCATATAACAAAGTGTTTGCTTATGATTGACTTCAAAGAGATAAGACAGGGAATCTAGATGTTTGTTGTTCAATTTCATAAGAAATCAATAGCTCAAATTAATATTATTATTAATTTTATGTCCTTGGAATAATCTTTAAAGGAGCGATAGGGCATCGCCATCTCTGAGCCATCTCTAAGTGTCAATCAACTGATTAGAAAATAACAATCACATTTAAGAACGATATCATTGTCAATTTTCAATGTTCATAGGAGTTTCAATATCTATAACATGAAAAAGATTACTCTGGTTTTAGTTCAGTAATTTAAACAGTTTTCTCAATTTTAAAAAGTTTCATCTGGGAGTGTGGCACATGCCTATAGTCCCAGGGTTCTGGGAAGGCTGAGGCAGGAGGATCACAAGTCCAAGCCCAGTCTGATCAACTTAATGACTTAGTGAGACCCTGCTCAGGAAAAAAAAAAAAAATGTAAAAGGCCTGGAATGCAGATCAATATGTGAAGGTCTTGATTTAAGCCCATAGTACTAAAAAAAAAGTTTCTTTTTCTTCTTTTTTATGCATATACTAACTTTCCTAAAAGCTAAGCCATTAAAATTATATTAAAGCTTACAAATCATATTTTTAACCTCATATCTAAATATGAACAAAGATTATTGCCTCTTCTTAAATCTTCCTGGAAACTATTATATGCTGATCATATCTTTTGGAATTAGCCTTGACAATGAAGAATCATCATGCATAACACTTCTCACACGGGGAGAAAATTTATTAGTGCCCCTGCACTAATATCTTGAAAAGGTAACAGTATGTAATATTAGATAAATTTTACCCTAAAATATTATTTTATATAAGGTACATTTGCCCCTATAATGAGGCTAAATACCACCAAGAAGAGAACTTTAATCCCTTACATTTCTGAAAAGGAATTAGAATTATTTTTGATGAATAAATTTTAGAGGAAAGTTTCTATTAAAATAAATTTTTATAAAATCATTTTCTTTAAATTATCATTTCTAAAAAGCCACACCTTCCTGGGTTGGATGTGACTAAGTCAGGGTACCCTTTCATTGCATTTGTAGGCTTTGGCCACAACCCCACCAAATGGACACCAGCTAATTGGGTGCAGGGTTAGGGATCAGATGGCACAACATCAAATTTACCTTCTGCCTTATAATTAAAAAACGATTCCTGCCCTGTAAACTTAGTCACTATAGAGAAGCTCCAGCAAAAGAAGCAAAATTGGAAGCATAGCCGGTCCCTTTGGTGCTCATTTAATAGCAAATCCATCTCAGGCAACATAAAATGTCTATCAGTGTGACACAAAAACACCTGTGATGCTGAGCAGAGAAGAGCAGGGTTGAGGAGCAAAGCAATTATATTTTTTTCCTTTTTCTGTATCTCTTTCAATAACAAATGGTGATAAAAGGGCTTAGAGTGAAGGATTCTCTAGACACGCAGAGATCTGAACCTATTTTGGGTTATAAAGTCAGTGAACCTGACAAAAGCTATGGATCATCTCCTAGAAAAGCAGAACAAAACATATATTCAGAATTGAACACATTCAGAGACTATATGAACATCCAAAGTCCATGAATTGTCCTAGATCCTTGGCCCCCACGTTGCAACTCATAATTTTGAACAAATCATACAGTCTTTTAAATTTCACATCAAAGATCTAGAGTAGCTAGTTATAGCTGATGAGTCCTATGACAAATATCATCTGAAAATGTAAAATGGCACCGTATTTAACAAGAGATGGTTTCGCAAAACCAAACACACCAGTGAAAAAGCATTTTAGACAAACATCACCCTGCCTGGGTGAATGTATCAGAATATTACAGATTTAATAAAATCATTGTTCCTCTAAGTTCAGCATTCTGCTGCCTATTTGTTCAAAAGTCGCAGTTCATTTGCTCTGTTGCTGTTGAATTCATTCCTCTGTTTTTTGCAAGGGAAAACCATCAAACCCGTAGACATTCCTGAAATGTTGTACCTATTCTCAACTATTAATTTGATCACTTAGGTTCCTGGACTAATTCAAAGAAAAAAATGTTTGAACCTTTCTTATTCTTTTGGGAAAGCATTTGTAGCCAAAAGTATTGTTATGGTTGACTTTACCTATATATAGTTGAGATGTTGGGAATTCTGAGTTTTATTGGGCCATACTTTTCTTTATAATCAAGGGACAAAAGTGCCCACACTAGCAAATGTTTTCATTATTCTTGACTATGTTTACGAGTAAACACTAGTCAAGGTACTGTCTCCTTCGTTTTTGTTTGTTTTACCACATACAAATGTAACTTTAATATTTCATCTATGATGAAACTTATAGTGAACTTCCTAGAGTTAACCATATATGTCTTTTAGATGGAGCTTCAGAAAGACAAAACTTTTCTGACACATGGTTCATAATTTTGGCTATACCCTAGGAGCTATTAAGAATCCTAAACATGTAGTTAGACCAAGGAAATCAGATTTATTGGAAGTTTGGTCCAGGCATCAATGTTTATAAAAGCTTTCTGGGTGGTTCTAAAGGTGAAAAGCACTGCTCCACCCAGGAAGTGCTGGACCCGGGGTCAAAGGCCTAACCAGTGGAAGCTATTACTCCACTTGACCTTGGCCCCAAGCTCAATGTGGAACTCTGGTGGGCTAGATAGGACCAGCCTCAAATATAGGCTTGCATGTACACACGCGCACACACACACACACACACACACGCACACTCACACACACCCGTCTGAGTGGGAGAGTCAGTTTCTGGTCCAGATTTCCAGCCCTATTTCTCAAGTACAATACATGAAATATTGAAACATCTGCACCAAAATTATCTGGGGTCCTTGTTTTTAAAAACTATGTTCTGGACTGTATCACAGTCTTACTAAGCAAATTCTACCAAAAGGGTCTAGACTAGTTACCACTTTCCCACATGTTTCTGATTACATTTAGTTTGAGATCTCCTGGCCTAAATGTATCTACACATCCTTTACTGAGCCCCACAGTGCTGGCATTTCAGGAGATGACACAAGAGAAGGAATACCCCTCCTGGAATCTAGAGGGAAACAGAAGGGGCAAGGGATTATGGCTGTCTTTTCTCTCCCATAACAGCTTCCAATCTTGGAACACTGGCTCCAACATTAAGTATTACTTTAATTGCTCTCCTAGAAAACATGATAATCTCTATTAGCTCATGGGTAAAATCACTACTTTAAATCTATCAAGACCCTAGTAACATTTTCCTCTGGCAGCAAAGTAGGAGATGGGAAAGCAAGCCAAACTCTCTTTCTGAGATCTGTTGATTTTCTAATGATTTGTAAATCCTTAAATAAATCAGTGAGTTCAACACTGAGGGTGTATTTATCTATAAGTATCAAGGTCATGAATGTTGACAAGTTTCCCAAACCAGTCTGTATAAACCACAGTGTACCTAAAATTTTGCTCTATGAGAGCTCACATGGCTCTAGGTTGTGTGTGAACTGGGAAAAGTAGATTGGGGAGCAGCTGTTGGTCTAGAGCATCGGAAAGAATCTATCTCTCCAGAGTACATTTCTCAGCTCTGGATTAGTTGGCTAACTGCCCTTTATTTTCTCATTGTCCCCCACAGATTAGCTTTTCAGTGACCTCCCCATTATTTCCCAAAACATTTAATGCTGTCACCCACTGTGTCTTCTGGTCACAGTCCTTTTATGAACTTGTTGGAAATGAAATGGCTTTTTCTGCCTTTCCTATAGACTCTGTGAAAACTTCTATGACTTGTAACCACTGGAAGCTGGAATGTTCAGGTGACGTAGAATGGCAGCCACCAAGCCACTCCAGGAGCCAGTTTTCACTAGGACCTGGAGACACAGGTACATGAAGCAGGACTGGTGGACGTGGCCTTGGTGCCTGACACTCCATTCTCATCTAGACCACTGAGGTTGCCCTGCTTCTTTAGTTTCTCACTTGCCTTCCCGTGACATTGTCCCCTCCCGATCAGTTGGCCAGTCTTTCTCAGATCTACATACTTAACTGCCAGGGTCCTCATCAGAGTTAGTAACTAAGAAACAGAATGAATTTTCCATTTTGAGCTGAAAGTAGAAGCCGGAAGAGTTTCTGCAGGTTGAAGTGATGGGAAGGAAAAGCCATGAGTCAGCAAAGAAAGCTCAGGAGAGGAGGAGCTGATTGGTACCAAAAGCAGACACGGGTCAGACACAGGAGAAAGCAAGAGCATGCAGCCCAGGCACCCTGTAACAAACTTCTCCTTCTTCACCCAGGTGAATCACACACCTTGAAGCCAAAGAAATTTCATCTTCCTCATTTTGGATCAAAACCACACTAGACTTTTCATCCAAAGAACAGACCAGAAAAGCTGAGCTAATACGGGCTGTCTTCTGGTGACAGAAATGCCATTGAGAAGACTCAATTTAGGACTAGCAGCAGGGTTAACGCTATCACACTCACTGTTCCTCCCACACCCTTGGGAAGTATTGCACTGTCAGGAGTCCTGCTCAACTTGGAAATAGATGCTAATCATTCTGTCCTTGCTCCCCCACATAGAAATTCCTTTCTTCTCACATTCCACAGAAGATAAGGCTACAGAGGGAGATAGAATTCTATTTTCAAAA